GTACTCGTGTAGTCGCACATGTCTGAGCGGTAACACCATTGACCACATGTCCTCGAGAGGACGGAGCGGGGTTCCCACAGGACCGACCGCCGACGGCCACTCGTTCCTTCCTGCTTTGCCAAGGGTGCCCGAAAAATGCTTCCCCTGGACTGTCTATCCTATCGATATCACTCCCCGCCCTTTCAGTCCACTTCCCAGCAGGAGGGGGGGGGGGGGNGGGGGGGGGGGGGGGGGGGGGGGGGGGGGGTACAGGCGTGTGACGTGTCTACTCCTGAGATAGACAGCATCGGAGCCGGAGCACCGTTCTTACTTTCGCGGTAGTCGTTTCCGATCGTCGTTCTTACGTGTTCACCCGCACCAGCATCGTGCCTCGAGTTTTCATGGGCAGGCTCGCCGGCGCACAAAGAATGACATGGCACAGGAGTGTTTGCTTGCACACATGTCCCCAAGGCGCATCGGCGCGATGACCGTTTAGGCCCGTCGAAACGACGTGCGACTCCGCAAAAAAAGCAAGAAAAATACATCAGAACTCCATATGAGAACAACCAGAAGTTTTTTCCCCGGGATTTGGCCACGGATTCTGTGACGGATTAGAAAAAAATACGCCGAGGAAAAAAACGGCTCCCAGTTTTTGTTCCGTAAACATGAGCAAGCAAGGAGCCGAACGGTTGCTTCAGAGACCTTCATGGTGTCCTCTGTTTTTCTTGTTCGTTCCACTTGTTATCGTTATTATTGTTGTTGTTGTTGTTGTTGTTGTTGTTGTTGTTGTTGTTATTATTGTTGCCACTTAAAGCATTCAGAATAATTCGCTCGCCCGCCTACAATACCTGTTACTACCTTCGTGTCTCCCTGTAATATAGCAACCAAGCGATACACCTCCAAGTCGACGCGGGCCTGTAACTGTACCTCTCACCCTTGCGTTGAAGACGACGTGGAGAGAAACGCGGCATCCCCTTAGCTTCAAGGCTTCTAGGACGACGTTGATATCGTAGTCTCCAACCATAGGTATCACTGACTTGTATGGATTGATCAGGAGGCGCTTGAGGCCTGATTCTGACCGCAGAGCAGCCTCGCGATTGCCCCTATGCGGCACCAGCAGCAGAAGCAGCATCAGCAGCAGCACCAGCGGCACCAGCGGACATAGAAAAATTTGGCATCTGTTGCCTTGTTCTACGACGAGGTTACCAACTTTCTCGATTGTGCGTATTCGTCACGCTGAAGATAAAAACGACGGAAGGGTTGCACCAATAGGGCAGCCCTTGCTGCTTCCGACACTACTATTTCCCACCATCAATACCTTGTACCATAAACACTTTTTTGCACCCTTCGCCCCACACCAGATCGGCGACAAAAGGGCACTGCTGTGCCTCAGCTCCGTCACTAAATTTCATTTCGAAATAACAGCGCAAAAAACTGCCAATATATTCCGGGAAAGGCCCAACACTTCAGCAGCAGCAACAGCATCAACAGCCACGACGACGACGACAACAACAACAGAAGCAGCAACAACAGTAGCAACAGTAGCAACAGCAGCAACAGCAGCAACAGCAGCAGGAGCAACAACAACAATAACAGAACCTAATTGAAAGCGTTGCCACAGCGACAGAGTGCTGTCTCACAATTCAAGGGCGAGGCGTTCCATCAACTCGCGGTTGGCCCAGGGCTCTTGAAACAGGTTGTTCAGTGCGTGCATGGCGCACTGCATCAGGCGCTGCCTCTCGTGGTACATGATGGTAGCTGTCTCCTTGCCACTACAGCAGTAGTCTACACCTGCTGCACAGACCAGGTAGATGTCGACGCAAACCGGGCAGACGTGTAACGATGCAGAGAGGAAAGTTGCAGCAGCAGAGATAGGTGCACGAATTTCTGTCCAACAGCTGGAACCAATGGGTGGTTTGAGTAGCAGCACAAGACAGCAGGGGGCTACAGCGAGAGGTTAGGGTAAAAGCTACCTGCAGACTACATACGCATCCATACACCGACTTTCCGAATGAAAACAAGCTTCATCACCGCGCACACTTCTGCAGAATGAGGTAAGACACGTGCCCATGAGCGAGTTGTGCAGTATGTATCGGCAACCATTGCATAGCACCGGGGTAATTGGAAGAGATAATCAGCAACACCAAACGAGACACCCCGGGGGTGGGTGGTGTGCCGCGGCCAGCACTGCGTGCGGACCATGTAACGGCGTGTCCCGATAGCTTTTACATTAGAAACGCGCGTGTGCAACGGCACACGTCCTGCCTCTTTCGCATGCCGTGCAAGGCGTGGTCTCACGAGGATTTCCCCAGGGGAGTGCGTGAAGAAGTGTAAGCAGCACTCTGGAAAGGGGACAAGTCTACATACAGAATAAGCCTCCACGCAGACAACGAACCTACGGCATGCTCGACGATACTATGCTTGGGGTACACAGCACCTGTTTGACAACTAGGCACATATCTTGTGTTTCGGGTCTTGGTGCGCTCTTACCTGCTTGGCGAGCTGTGCTTGGCGGGCGCCAAAGCTTGTGTGCGCGCTCGATATTATTGTGCCATCAAGTATCCGCCTAACAAGTTGAGACGGCCGGCGGGCGGCGTAACCAAGTTGGTTCGAGGATCGGGAATATGTAAGGTTCGTGATTGGAACCTTACATTATCGTTCACGTGTTATACCCAGTTATACCTTGTATTCGGGTGCTGATTCGGGTTCTGTTGATCATCCAATTACCCAATCAAATGCAGAGCAGTGTGTCTCTGCATTACCAAGGTTCTGTGCTAGGTTCGAGGTTCTTGCCTCTTTTGGATGCTTGATTTTCTTCGCGGATGTCGTCGAGGAAGGGAATGGACAGATGGCTGTTGAGGAAACTTATTGTTGATTCGTCTCTCGGCGGCTGCTGCACTCGACACAGCTGCATACAACACTGATGTTGCTGTTCAACCTATCCACGCACACACCCCCCAGCGCGAGGCGGACCGAGAGCTACAGGAGATCGCAGCGGGCGTGAAGGCGACCGCGAAGAAGAAGGCACGGGAGGGCGATTTATCGTTCGGCACGTTCAACGTACGCACGCTCGCCTACAGCGGCAGGAACCCCATCGGCCACAACGTGATGACGGTCATGCAGATCTGTGCCGCGACCGACTGTGATGTGATAGGACTCCAAGAGACCCGACGAGCGGGACAAGGCGCGATTACACACGACGGGTACGTGATCATCTGGAGTGGTGCCCGTGCCGGCACCAAGGACAAGAGGGGCGTGCACGGTGTGGGCATAGCGATTAAGGAGACCATGTGGGACAGCGTAGGCGAGGGAGGTAGGACGGTGGAGTGCATTAGCCCGAGGCTGATGAAGGTGCGCCTGCAAATTGGCCGCACCTGCGGAGTAACTTTCGTGGTGGGGTACGCCCCTACGGAAACTGCCCGCAACACCGCGGGCGGTGATGTCAATGCCAAGGACTCCTTCTGGACTGCTCTCGACGCAGAGATCCGGGAGGTCCATAGCCGTGACCATCTCGTGGTACTAATGGACGCCAACGCACGTACTGGCAGGAGGCGAGACGGATGCTGCGATGCCAAGATTATGGGCGCGTACGGACGCGACATTATGAACAACAACGGGGAACGACTTCTCGGACTGGCAGCAGACAACCGACTCTCCCTGATCAACACCTACTTCCGGACACCGAAAGGAGGAGTGCAGCATACGTTCCAGAGCTCCAACAAGGGGAAGGAGAAGCACCGCCTCGACTTCATCCTCATGCGACAGACGGACCGGCGTCTCGAACGTAATGCCTCCGTCAAACGTGTCGATTTCAAGGACTCTGACCACAACCTGGTGCATACGACTGTCCGCTCCCCCCCCCGTGTCGCACCCAACCGACGAACGCGGGGAAACAGCGGAAGCAGCCGGATCCGTATCGACCTCGAACGGTTGAGGAAGGATGTGCACCTACGGGCCGTCTTCCAAGACAGGGCTCTCAACCGCCCTCCGCCCACGGCCCTCAGCAGGCCAACGGGAGAGACCGCCGCCGAGCTCACCGCTGTGGTGATGTCGGCCGCTGCGGAGATCGCGCCGCTGGCGAGGAGCGCACGAGGGAAGGGAGGATGGTACACGAGCGAAGCGCAGCACGAGATTTCCGAAGCGTCTAGGGAGATAAGAGTGGCCCAACAGCAGCTGCGCGGGGCCTCAAAGAACAGCGACTTAGAGACGACCCTGAAGGCGAAGCTCAAGGCGGCGCGGAAGAAACGCAGCAGCGCGAGGTGGAGAGCACTGGAAAAGTTCTTCGAGGGCTATGTGAGGCAGCTCGAGAAGAAGAGCCGTGAGGGGGACCAGGCGGGTTTCTACAGGCACCTGAAGATGATCGACGTCGAAGGTAAGAGGCCACTTACCTCCCAGAACATCAAGGACGAGGACGGTAAGGTCCTTCGGGACCCCACGCTTACCCGCCAGCGGTGGGCGCGGTGGTTCCACAAGCTCCTTAACACCAAGTCGCCGACCATCGACCTGCATGCGACCGACAGAGTCAAGCAGTGGCCCACGTGCGTTCCGCTCGACGACATCCCGTCTCTATTCGAGGTTGAGGAGGCGGTGCGGGGAATGGCCAACAGGAAGGCCGTCGGGCCGGACGACCTACCGGCTGAGCTGATCAAGCTGTTCCTGGATGGAGACCGAGGCTTCCTCCGCGAATTCCACGCCATCGTCGTGGACGTGTGGCAGACGGGGAACGTACCGCAGCAGTGGAAGGACGCCACCATCAAGGTTCTGTTCAAGAAGGGGGACACGATGGAGTGCGGCAACTACCGGGGCATCTCTCTCGTTGCACACGCCGGCAAGGTGCTGCTTAAGGTCGTTGCAACACGCCTAAGCCACTACTGCGAGCGAGAGGGCATCCTCCCGGAGGAGCAGAGCGGTTTCCGCCCACACCGGTCGACGCTCGACATGCTGTTCGCGATCCAGCGGCTCCATGAGCTCGCGAGGAAGAAGAGTACTGCGGTCTTCGCGTGCTTCGTCGATCTCACCAAGGCGTACGATTCGGTGGACCGAGATCTGCTGTGGGACGTGCTCGGACGCTTTGGCGTGCCCCCGAAGATGCTGGCGGTCATTCGCCACTTCCACGAGGGCATGAGGGCGCGGGTTCGAACGGACGACGGGCAGTACTCGGAATGGTTTGACGTCGGCCAAGGTCTCCGACAGGGGTGCAACCTGGCCCCGCTGCTGTTCAACTTGTTCTCTGCCGCGATGCGCATGGTCGCAGTGACCGAGTTCGACAAGGACCCCAAGGTGACGGCGGATATGATCAAGATCGCAACACGAGTGGAGTGCACGGGCAAGAGGGGCAGGTCGGCGGGGAAGAAGGCGATGATGGTGACGGTCGCAGAGGCCCTGTGGGACATGCTCTACGCTGACGACGCGGCCATCGTCTCGCTCACGCCGGAGAGCCTCGAAAAGATGATGTCCATCATCGTGCGCGTGGCCGGCCTGTTCGGACTGATGGTATCGGAGCCAAAGACGGAGATCATGTGCATGCTACCGAAAGGGCTGGGGGAACGCCCGTTCGCGGTCAGCGCCGCTGGCCAGACGTACAAGCAGACAGATCGGTTTGTGTACCTCGGACGTACCATCTGCGCGGATGGGAAGGTCGACCGGGAGATCACGAGCCGCATCTGCCGAGCATGGAAGTGCTACCGCCGGAACAGCACTTCGATGTACGACAGGAAACGGGCCAACCGCCAGCTCAAGATCCGACTACTCCAGGCTGAAGTGGTGCAGACCCTCCTATACGGGTGCGCCTCGTGGAGCCTGGCAGCGGAGCACTACACCAAGCTGAATGGGACCCACCGCCAGTTCCTGACACGGTGTATCGGCTGGAGCAAGCGGAAGCGCTCAGACCGACCCCTGTCCTACGCCCAGGCCCTCATCCAGGCCGGCTGCGAGGAAACCATCGAGGCCACCGTGCGCAAACGGAGGCTGTGTTTTGCGGGCTTCGTTATGCGCATGGAGGACAACCGCCTCCCCAAGCGCATGCTGCTGGGAGCGATGGCGGGGGGTACCGGATACCGGGGCGGGCAGGAGAGCGACTGGGTGTATCGCCTAGGAGAGGACCTCGTGGCGTTTGGCATGAAAGAGGAGAAGGAGGGGGGGAGATGGAAAGAGAGCGCCAAGGACCAGGAGGCGTGGTACGACAAGATCGAGGACGGGGCGGCATGGTTCATGAGGAAATGGCACAGACAGGAGGCGGAAGCATCCGCGAAGCGCCAGCGCCAGCGCGCGGAGGAAGCAGAGACGGAGAGTACGGCCGCCCCGGGCCCGAAGAGAAAGAGAATCGGGGAAGCGGGGGGGGGGGGGAAGAAACGGCGACCGGACACTGCTGTAGAAGCGAGTAGGGCGGCCAAGGCCGCGCTTGCGGCGAACGACGTACCCAACTGATGATGTTGTCGCACCCTGTGTTCCCTTTTCCCTGCCGTAAGCTGTATGCTCTTAGTATTGCCTCCGGCCTCTCTTTGTGCTTTTCTTCTTTCTTTCTTTCTTGTTCTCCATGCCCTCTCTACGATGATCTTGGACGATACCTCGAGCTCCTTGTTATTTTTGTTTTTTCCTTTGCTGGCTGCCTGCCACCTCTGCTGCCTCTTTGGTGCGGTGCCTACCCTACACTAATGCGCTGGTGCATACTGCACTGCTGTAGTACCTGGTACTGGTGTACGTTGTCCTTCGATTTTTTTTTTTTTTTGTGGGAATATATATGTGTTTGTTTTTCGCCCCCCGTCTTGCTGCACCCCCTGGGGTGTGGTGCAGGGCGGGGGATGCCTGGTCGGCGGGAACCCGGCACGGAACCCTCCGGCGTTGTAGGCGGGTGTGGGAAGCGTTCCCCGTTCTCCTTTTATTTTATTTTGATCGGTCTCCTCGACGCTCTTTCTCGTTTGGTGCGGTAGCTGGTCTTTCTTTCTATCATTTTGTTTCTCTTCCGAGTGGTTTTTGTACCCTATTTTTTTCTGTTTCTTCGTGGGGTCGTGTATGCCGGGTTTTGAGACCACGGGTTCCCAATCTTTCTTTTTTAGAGCTAATGTGAGAAACAACAACAACAACAACAACATGCCCACTCCACCTTGCCCGGTTAGCTCTCTCTTCTCTGAACTCATGGGGTTGACCCAGTGCCATATCCATGCAAACAAACCGGTCGCCCCGGTGGTCTAGTGGGTAGCCTCGCAGCCTGCTAAGGGCCAGGTCATGGGTTCA